CATTTATTTATTACGCATACGAATATATATTTATAGAACATTATCGTTCGTTTCGTCTAAGGCTTAATACAAAGATTATAGAGTATATACAAGCGTAATAGCAATATAGAAAGAAACTGCGCAATATATGGTGAAGAATCATTTTTTAAACGTAAATAGAAGTGAATTTAATATCTTCTATCTGCTGTAGTTATGGAAAATATTCGAGAAGAATGATATTTATTAAATAAAATCCATCATACTTTAATTTAATCTCAGTCACATTTTATACTTAATCAAAGATCGAAAAATAATAATGAGATATAAAATAAAATTGATCTATTAGTATTTTCTAATTTTTATGAGTCATAATATAATGCACTTTGTTTATATGCTATTTGACGTCAAAGATATAAATAGTAATATGCGTTTTTCGTTAGATTTAATTGTACTTATTAAGATGAAATGTCCGAGAATGTTATTTATAGTATAGCGGGCGTAGTCATTCATTTATCTATTTATATATGTTAGATGACGCAAAAGAGAGTGAATGTAAAGAGAAAAAATAAAATCGGTACGATACATAAATCGATGTTTATGTGTATAATTAACAAATACTTTTATCATTGGTATTAAGAATAAAATGCGTTATATTGTTTGTCTTTTCCTACTCTTGACTTTTAGTCATTTGACAAGATCTTATGTTGTGTCACATCGTAAGTTTTATTTTCTTTTTATATGAAAAATACTTAACTTTGTTATATTCAGCTGGTAAATGCCCAACTTACAAATTTCATTGTGATGAGGAGTGCACGGCTCAGGAGAAGGTAAAGATATGCAGGAACAATCCTTCACTGTGTTGTCAGAATGACAGTAACTGTCAATGGAACCAAAAATGTTGTGAACCATCTTGTGGATGCGTCACCATGGAATGCACGAATATGACAAGTACTTCATGAACTCGATTTTTCTTTTGAATATTAATGTGTACAATTTATTGAAAAATTTTTTTTACGATAAACAAGAATAAAATTATTGTATTAGAACTACGTATTACCCACCAAACTATGTAAATAGACACATAATCTATGAATTTGTTTTTCATAAGCATTCGTTAGCTGATTTATTTTTTTATGATTATTGTACATTACATTAATTTTATCTATCAATAAATTAACCATTTTGAATATAATTACGAAAGCTTTTCTTAATGCTCATAGATGATGAATAAAATAGCAGAATAATTAAAATTAATAATCAAGTAAACGAACATTTATAATTCTATACATGTATATTCTTTTTAAAATAATAATTAAGATGAGCAGGACAATTAGAAAAGCAGTACATCATTATGTTATGAAAGATTTTCATTCATAGTAAAAACTATATATTTCAAGTTTATTTATTTAGTAAAATCAAAAGTATAGCTCTATATTTTTATTTCATGAAATAAGTACATACGAACAACGATAACAGATGTGAGATGATATATAAATCACAAGAAAAGAATATGAAAATATAATGAATGTAAATGTAGATGAGCGACATTACAACAACACTATAGTCATTTCATCCATATATCAAATTAGTCAAGTTATTGAATTTAACTGTAGATCATATTGTTCTCTAATGTATTACTGCTACTGTGAGAAACTTTGCATTGACTGTTAGATTAGGATTTGTGTTCGTCATAGTCGATGGATGAATTTGAACACAGTTACGGAGTCGTAGAATTTTATACACCAATAGAATGAGTTCTTTTCTATACGTTCGAGCCGAAATAATATATAAAATGAATGGCATCGCGTAGGATAAATACATGAGAAGTTGAGACATCATTCGAGCAAAGTAAAAGCCAGATGTAGCTAGAATTGTATTTGGCACAACCAATAATAGATAAGTTACACATGTTGGCACAGTGAGTATACTCTGGCAGCCTACTTGTATAAAAAGCATTCGAGCAAGTTGATATTCAGTTCGACGATGTTGTATGATTGCAGTAGGAATGATACGCACTTGTTTTGTATTGTATATGGTCATGATACCGAAGAACATCATAAGAAATGGTGCAACAATAGCAAACAGAAAAATTTGCATGATAGAATACACTTGTTTATAGATAGTATCAGCTCGAACACGACATCCAAATGCGTCGGTTGATCTTAAATCTATCAGAATTGTAGTATTCAGATAGAAAAGCATGATAAGAACAATAATGAACATTATCGCCCAACGAGCAACTTGAACATTACTGAATTTGCGTAAGCGAACACTCGTTGAACTGGTACAATATCGATCGATTGTAGCAAGAACAATAAAAAATGGTGATAATGTTGCACATATTTGATAGACATATGTAACGAGTTTGCATAAAATAAGAGAAACTTTCGTTACATCAAGGTGGTATCCATTAGCCAAAAGAAGATAAACGAGAATTGCACTTGTGTAAAACAAATTATTGAAAGCAAGAGCCAGAAAATAACGAGAACAAGCATGCTTATACAGGGAAGGTCTTGTAAGCACAGCAATGTTAAGGCAGTTTCCTATTATACCAACAACCATAATTATGGGAACTATGTCTTGAATCATTCCAATAGTGATTTGTGTTAGGGAGTCGGTCATGGTCGCTGTCTTCTTGGCTTTCTCACCGAATATGTAAAACTTATTTCTTTTGTAATCAATTTTCAGAAATACGTCGTTATATATATCCTCTCAGTTCATAATTAATATTACATCGACTGCGTAAAAGGGACTGTCAATAACATAGCTTATTACTTCATCCTGCTAGGATGATCTATTTTGCCTATAGATTATTCCCTTTCTCTTAATTAACAACAGAAGAATATATGTCAACCATGACATTTCTCTGGCTCTGCTTTCCATTTTTAGGTGCAAAATAATAACAAACCGGCAAAACCAATAGTATTCATTGCGTTCAATATTCGTAAATTAGAATACAATATAGATAAACAAATATTTATTCTTGATAATTATTTCTAATATGAAGAGACTCTCTTTATCATACTCAAGCTGATTTCGTCATGATCGTACTAGCTGCATATATTTATTGATTTATGTAGTAAGAAAAAACGAAGAAAAATAAAGTCTAAGGAGATTTTTTTAAAATTGATTAGAACCAGATGAAGGAAAGAGAAGAAGTGATGACATTCATTTCAAGGACAAAAATAAGAAAAAGGATTTGTCATCAAAGTTCTTGGCGGGTTCAAATATGAAAGTGACATGTAACAAATAGGTTAATGTATTATAATTTTTTTTGTCTTGTGAGATCTACTTTTGTAAGCTTTCTACTGGAAGTGTTAAAATGTTACTTGTTGAGTATACGAGAAGTTGTACCATCAAAAACGTATGTATATTTCAGAAGAGTATTTTTCTTCCATCAGATGAAAGCGCGAATAAAATACTCGCTCGCTAACAACTTTAAAGATTATTATTATAATTTCAATGACTTAAAATTTAGTTTAAGTCTAAACTAGTTTATTTACACTAAGAACAAAAAAAAGAAAGCACCAACTATATTAATCAGATAGTCGTATTTGATATCGTTGATTCTTTCGAACACGATTATTCATACAACTCAATACTTTTCGTAAAATTTGTTTTGCGATAATCATCGGTTGTTTCTCTTTTTGGATTTTATCTGTTTGTAGTTGTGTATATGAAGGGTACAAAGAACAATCACAATCTAGTCCATTCAACAAAGAGAAATCAATTAAAAACAATGGTATAATTTGCAATTCATGAGGCACAACTAAAATATTTCTAGTATAATATTGAATTTTTTTCACTTGATTATAGTTTGATATTGCAGCACAAGCTAAAATCGTATTTGTAGCTCGAGTATATGATAGAGAATAATGTGCAGTTCGACTACAATAAATTCCTAGACTAAATGCTTGACCAGTTACTGATCGAATAATTGGCGCATTTTTAATTGTTGGATGTACTTGATTTGGTATTAAAAAGCCAAAACGAAGTATACTTTCTATGTTTTTAAAGTGTGTTCCATGGTAAACTAATTGTACTAAAGAATCGTTATTTTGATTTAATCTTTTCATAAACTCGATTTGAATAGATTCATTAATTGGTGCTAATCTAATATTAATAATTTTGATATCGGAACGATTATTGAGAGATGATTTGATATTTTCATGATGTTTTTGATAGAATTGAGCACGAAAATTAGAAAATGTTGTCAGATCTTTGTTGGTTAATTTTTTGGATGACTTTGATCGTTTTTTAGATTCAGTATTTGTTGTCTTTACTAAGAATTCTTCATCACATTCGAATTTATTTGATACTGATGAAAAATGTTGATAGCCAAATGATTTTTGTTCAATTTTAGGTTTTTGTTTGTATCGTTTACAACAGATTTTTAATAATACGGCATGTGATTGCAGTTTTTTCGTTGATATAGGATATAATGATTGGTTTCGTTTTTGTTTCCAATACTTATCCCGTTTAATAGATTGATGCATTTCAAATAAATCGATTTGATAATCAATATCACAATAATTTTGACTTGAAGTATAACCAGGCCAATCATCGTCATCGTCGCTATCTGACAACATATTCAATCGATTGATTAGAAAATCAGTCGAGAGATTGCTGAAGAAGCCATACAAAAAGACCATCTTGAGGGTGTGGGTGTGGGTGTGGGTGTGGCGGGTGTGTGAGCTAATATTAACATTCATGCGCACGGTAACTTCTTCGAAACAACATCTAAAAGAAACATTTTTATGTCATTCATTACACTCTAATAAATATATTTTAACTATCGTAAGATTTGAATATATAGCCGTCGAAGTTTTATCGTATGATATCAAATACAATCATTTACAAGCATTATTTTTTTATAGCTGACTCTTTGATAATGATCAGACGTTTTGAATTTAATCTCTTAGTCTCAAAATATGTTCTACTAGGAATTATTTGATATCGGTTGAACGATTAATAGTCACAATACGAAGATTTGTACAAAAACAAAAAATTTATATTCTATGTCATTTTGAATCAGATTCTTGTTGTTTTTTAAACATGCACATCAAATCCGAAAGAGGATATTGAAAGCATTGTGTAATATCAAAATAAACAGTCAGCTGTTGTCCATATGCTGCTGTCCGAATAGTCACCCGATCGTAATATTTTCCATTTTCGGTCACCATTGCTTGTGATTTGAAAAAATACTCTGGATATTTGTTATGCAACCATTTTTGCTGTGTTTGTTTTGCAATGGATGAACTTGTTTCATGTAGAAATATCGCCGTCTTAGGCATTAAACCATCTTTGATCATTGTGCTCGACAACTCACTGTAAATGGCAAAAAAGAATAGAAGGTACAGACTGAAATGAATGTATTAATCTTTGAATGTACCATGGATTGACATCAATGTTAAAATCTGTTGAACTCTATTAAGGTTCAGAAATATTCTATAAGCTTACCGTCGAAGCAACAATGAACAGCTTTGAATATGTCTGTATTTCATATGATACGCGACTCAACTTAATTATCAATGTTTTCTCTATATTGTATGTTTTAAAAAGTAGCGAGATGCTAAGTTTTAGTTATATCATCTGTCATATTGAGGCCCTTTTATCGTTCTATTGGATAATATAAATATATGCGAGAAAATAGTTCAATTGTCTTCTTTCACATCAAAATCATAGTGCTATTATATCTATTTGCACCATCTTGAGAGTGGGTGCGGGTATTGATGTGAGACAAATCTAATATCTATACTCCCAGGTCCACCAATCCCGTATTCGGATCCCATCGGATCTCACAATTTCCAACAAACAGATCTAGACGGATCCCATAAGTGACCATAAGGCCATCATAGAAAATAGCTAAAAACGCCGCTCATCAAATTTGCAGCAAGTGACTGAAAAGTTTCCGTACAGAATCCAATGCAAATCCGTCACCAGGAATCCTATCGGATTCTGTCAGATGATCGGATCCAACGTTGGATTGGTTGACCTGAGCTCACACCCACACCCAAACCCTTAGCTGAAAGTGAGGCGTGCTACGATAATTCTATGCAATTGATTATTTCCTAATGAGATAGATTTTCTATAAAAGGCTCTAGATTAATATAGAAAAAAAGCAGATTAAACAACAGTATATAGAAAATATGAAATCAAGAAAAAGCATGTCTATTTTAAGTTACAAGTTGTTTCGTATTGTATTTTGTAACATTTCTCGACCCCATTGAATAATTGTTTCAATATTTGGTGCAGATTGTACAGTAGTACCAATATCCAATCCATATGATTGCCATTGATCTAAACTAAGTTGTGCACTGGTACCATTGATATTGCATGTAAATGCGACTTGTGTACCGGATGGAATGTAGATTCTATTCGATGCTAAATAAGGTACAAAAAGATTGGCTGTATCGCAATTCCAAATATTATATGGTACAGAACTATTGTAGAGTATACAAGTATTTTCAATCCAAACTTCATTCCAACCACTGGAACCTCGCGATGGAGCTTGATCTGCAATGCAAACACCTGTTCCTTGACTAGATTTTGTATCAGGATATACATAAATTTCATGATGATCCATTTTTGAATGACCTAAATAATTTTTCTTTCCACCATATACTTGAAAATTATAACTATCTTCATAGAAACAACTACCATCATCATGATCGATAGGATAAAAAGAATTATAATTATTGTAAAGAACATTATGATGAATATAGCTTGTATGTTGCCAAAGTGATGGAACATCGGATTGAACAGCATCACTAAGAAAAGGTTGTCGATCCCAAGTATTAATAGTTCCATGATCACTAGTTTCGCGTACAGTATTAAAGATAACGTTATAACTAATTGTATGATTCCCATAGAATCCATCATTCACATTGATTGCTGCTCGTGGTATATTAAACATTAGATTTCGTATCACTGATACACTTCGACTTACAGAGATCAGTACAGGTGATGATTGTTTCACATAGATACCACTCTCGTGAATTAAATTCGATTCTATTAGAGTATTTGCAGGCTGACTAACCACACTAAAACCATCAATTCCATTCGTACTACCAACTAGAACGATACCTGATTCGCCTAACCAAACAAATTCATTCAGCGTAATCTGAGTTTCACCATTATAATCTATCACAGCAATGCCATTACTACCCACTTGTGTGAATAAATTATGCGTAATGGTAATATTTTTTGTGTTTGTCAGATACATCGTACCACCTCGATGAACAGACCAGTCACCACCACTTGGTACCATGTAATCTTTTATGTAAGTACTACTTGTTTCTGTCATTATCAGACCACGAATTATCACATTTCGAACAGAATTTTCCATGCTACTTCCGCTTACGGAGATGAGACATGGAATTTGACTAGCCACAAACACATCGGGCATTGTTTCATTGGGCATGAAATAGAGAGTACGAGTATGTCTATCTACAAACCATTCATTTGGTGAATCGAGTTCTTCGAAAATATTAGAAATATAGAATGCACCTCCAGAATCAGAACCACGTGCTTCTTGAAAACCTCCTCGACCAAACATGATCGTGTTTTGTGATGTGTTAACCGATGCTATCTCGAATATCCAGCTACCCCAATAGCCAGAATGAAACGCATGGACAAGCCCAGTAGTTGGCTCACTCCAATTACGAATATGAGGCAATGCATCACTTTTCACGACAAGACCACGAGGAACAACATAATTATTGCCCTGAGGTGGTGAGGTAGTACTCCAGAAGCTCGTGGGTGGATTGAAAACAGATGCACCACCACCAACACCAAGTTGATAATTAGAGAATACGGTACCATTTCGATAAGGTTCTTGTATATGAATTTCTACACTTGGACGATGAATCGGTGATATCCAACTTTGTGAATTATAAGAAAATCCTGGATCTTGAGAATATAGCCCTTGAGTTGATGGATCACCATTTGGATATTTAGCAACGATTGCTCGTTTATTATCGATATATAATTCATTAAATTGATCAAGATTAATTGACGATGGTATTTGAGCTTTCATAATTGTTCCACCAGTTAATGTCTTAGCATGAACAGACCATTTTAATTCTAATAATGTACCACCACTCAATACAACACGTTCATTTTCATAATTTTCAATAATAAGATTACTATCATTACTTGTTAATGCAATAGCACCTATTTGACTACTTGTCGAAGTAGCATTTGTTCCAAGATAATAAGTTCCACCACGTATAATAATACATAATATATTTTCATTACCATAGCCAGTACGTAGAATACGTGTTAAAGATAATGCTGCTTGTATAGTTTTTTTTGGTTGCTCGAATGTTCCATCAAATAAATCATTACCTTTTATATCATGTACAAATATTTTATGATAACAAGTTTGTTGATTTGTTTTTAATGGTTTATTGAATGCTTTATGATGACGATTATATGATTGATAAGTAGAATATAAAGTATTATTACATTGATTCATTTGAAAAGCACTTTGAGTAAGTGTTGTCCAATTCGTTTTTACAGCTGGAGGTGCAATATATGCAGCCATTTCAATAGTAAATGCTCGAAGTGCACAATCATATTCAGGTGATATATTTGGATTACCAACTGTACTATAAAGTGAATGATATGATTCAGTTGAATATTTAAATGTACAATTTGTATACGAGAAACAAGTAAGAATGATTCCTATTAATACGACAAGACGAAGATTCATCTTAAGTTTTTTTTTAGTTCTATTGAAGTATATATATATATTCTCTGTTTTATACTTAACCTTCGACGAGGTATTCGTTTATATAAGATAAC